CCCCCACACCCTTCAAACTTCATAACAATGTGATCTGACTGATCCCGCCACTCACGTGCCGCCCCACCAACCCCCAGGTGCGGTCCTTCCCAGGCCTGCTGCTGCAGGAGCCCCACGGCATCTCCATTGACATGAGCAAATGGCCCGGCGGCCACTTCGGCTCCCTCACGCCCTTCTACAAGTGAGAGGCCGCGCCGGGCTCGCGACCCCCACATGCGTGTCGCGTGTGCGTTCAGGCGCGCGCATCGTGTGCGTTGTGCGCGTCGTGGTCGTGCGGAGGGGCAGGCCCCCGCGCAGCCCTTTGCCCCGCCTCTGTCATGCCCTTGGCCGGGGATGTTTGGACGTCATCCGGCCCGCGGCTTACGCGCCGCCGCGCCCGGCCCCGCCCGCCCCGCAGGCAATGGGAGAAGCAGCCGCGCGTGCCCGAGCCCCTCAAGCCGCCGAAGAAGCTTCCCGTGGCCGCGGACAGCCCCGCGCAGAGGTGGGGTTTGCGCCTGCGCTGCCTGCCGGCATTCTTCCTGTCGGCTCGGCCCCGACAGCGCGACCCAAGGGTTCGGCAGGATAGCTGCGGATGCTGGGTGGTCCCAACACGAGAGCCGAAGCCCGCAGCCGCGGCCGAGCGGAGCCGAAGCCCGCCCGCGCCACCCCTGTACAACCTGGTGAAAGCCCGCTGGCTTAGAGCGTTTCAGTCGCAAGGCGCAGGTGCTTGATTTTTGTTGCGGCACGCTCTGTGCTTCCTCAATCCGACCACCCCGCTCTTTTTCTCTTCTTCCCTTGCCCTGTTTCATCAGATGTGGCGGCCTGTCACTGGACGAACTGGGTCTCTACAGCCCCCCACCCCGCCGCAGAAGCACCACCACCATTACCAGCAGCAGCAGCAGCAGCAGCAGCAGCATCCCCTCAGCAGCCGACGCCGTCGCCCCGTCGCCGAGCGAGGGGGCCGTGGTCGATTGGGGAGCGCCGATCAAGGCGGCGTGGGACCCCTCAGAGCGCGGCGCCCTCCGCCTGCTGGACGCCTTCATTGGCGGCGGCCTGCAGCGCTACGAGTCGCAGCGCGCGTTTGCTGACGGCCGCGCGGTGTCGCGGCTGTCGCCCTACGTGCACTTTGGTCAGATCAGCGCGCGGCTGGTGTGGCAGCGGCTCAAGCAGGCGCAGTGAGCTCTTTGGATTGGAATCGTGGCGAGGGGGGGGGGCACAGAGACACGGGAGGGGAAGGGAGGGG